TTCTACGTTTTCTTCCTTTTTTCACTTCCTTTTTCAACCTCTTATCTGTTCGATTTTTTACTCATTATGGCCTTGGGGGGGGGGGGAAGGGGGGAAGTTAATAAATCTAAATCCAAAGGAAACAGCTCCCCCGTGGCGATACTCTCCGCGATCCCTTGCACCCGCATTTCCCATGTTTCTCCTTCTACTACAAACCCCATGCGCCTTCAGCCTCCCGCCTTCTACCCCAAGCGAGAGCCAAGCGTTCCCGCTGTTGGGCGCCTGCGCCTTCCGCCCGGCAGAGGTCGCTGCCCTCAGTCGCCCGCCCACCGCCGGGCGGAAGCGGCGCCGCTCTGGCCGCCCTCCGGCCCTTGCGCTCCTCTGCTCCCTTCCTCCCTTCTTCTGCGGGCTGCGCGTCGCCGAAGGTCGCCGCCGAGTCGGGAGCGCGCGCGGTGGGGAGGGAGTGGGGGGGCAGCGCAGCCCCCCGGGAACGAGCATCCCCTGCCCCGCCACGGGGCCTAGCTGCCTCCATGGACCCTCTGGCGACCCCCGCCCCCGGGAAGAGGACCCTCGCCGTATCCTTAGCCGAGCTGGTTGGGGTGGGGGTCAGTTATGGGGCGGGGGGGGGTGTCTGTGAGGTGCTGGTTGGGGGGTGTCTAAACGGGGAGGGCAGGTTCTGTCCTTGTCTTGGGAAGGGCAGCTAGAGGGGGAGCCCCCCCCCCTTAAAATCAGTTCCTCTTGGCTTTGGAGTCGCCCCCCCCCCCATTTAAGGATTGGGGGGCACAGGAGTGGGGGGAGAGGCCCGGCTGTCCTTACAGCAGCCCAGAAATGGGGAATGATGTTCGGGGCCAAATGGCTTGGAAGATTGCCCTGATTGCTTCCTCCAAAAGTACTTCCTCTTGAAACCCAGTGGACTGTTGGGCAGGGGACGATGGGCACCCTGCTTTCCTGTGGACTGGGGAGGGGACGATGGGCACCCTGCTTTCCTGCTGGCTGGGCAGGGAATGATGGGCATCCTGCTTTCCTGCGGGCTCAGGAGTGGACTCTGGGCACCCTGCTTTCCTGGGGGCTGGGCAGGGAATGATGGGCATCCTGCTTTCCTGCTGGCTCAGGAGTGGACGATGGGCATCCTGTTTTCCTGTGAACTGGATAATGGGCATCCTTCTTTTCTGCGGGCTCGGAACGGGACGATGGGCACCCTGCTTTCCTGCGAACTGGGTAATGGGCACCCTTTTTTTCTGCAGGCTGGGGAGGGGATGATGGGCACCCTGCTTTCCTGTGAACTGGATAATGGGCACCCTTCTTTTCTGTGGGCTCGGAAGGGGACGATGGGCACCCTGCTTTCCTGTGAACTGGGTAATGGGCACCCTTTTCTGCGGGCTGGGGAGAGGATGATGGACACCCTGCTTTCCTGCGGATGGGCAGGGGACGATGGGCACCCTGCTTTCCTGCAGGCTGGGCAGTGGATGATGGACACCCTCCTTTCCTGTTTCTTTTTCCCCCCAGGCCAGTTTCCTGGGTCATTCGGGTGGCCTGTCCAGGAGGGACTTGCCAGCATCTGAACCCCCATGGTATTAAGGCTAGGGTAAGAGTGCCAGAATCGCCTTCCCAGACCCAAATTTGCTTGCCGAGGAGCACTTCAAAGCCTTTGCCAGGTTCCTGTTATTGTTGTCCTCCTTCTTCTAGCAGGCTAATGGATTTGCAAACGGTGCGCTGTGTGGTCCTTGCTGCTGCTGATCCGGGAGGCTGGGGAGGGGAATCCTTGCAATGGATGGCAAAGCAAAACATCCGGGCTCTGCCACTCAGAACTTTCATGTTTTCAGCCCAGTTTTTAAAAGGCTGGTTTGAGAGAGCTGTTCTCACCATAGGACAGAGATGGGTACCGAATCAAAGGGTTATCTAGTCAGCTGTTGGCCTGGTGAATATAGAAAGATGTTGATCAGCATCTGGATCTCTTTAGACCTCTAGAAATAAAGTGTATCTCTTCCGAGGAGGTTCTAGGATTTTTCTGATCCGCTCCGGCTCTTTTATCTGTTGTCTTCCCTTTCTTGTACTTTCCTCAGCTCTTCTATTCTGTTTCTATCTATCTGTATCTCTATATGTCTATGTCTGTTTGTCTATCTCTATCTATGTCTATCATCTATTGATCTATCATCCATCGATCTCTATTTCTGTCTAGATGTCTATCATCTATCAATCTATTCTATCATCTATATCTATGTCTGTCATCTCTATCGATCTATCAATGTCATCGATCAAACTATTTACCTATTTCTGTTTCTGTCTGCCCATCATCTATCGATCTATCATCTATGTATCGATCTATCTGTCATCTAGCTCAGCAGTCACCAACCTGTGGGCCATGGAATCACTGGTGGTCCAGGTGAAAATGTTGGTGGTCAGAAAAATCATTTGCATTTTTTTTAAATATTGCACTAAATACTATTTATCTTTTTTAAAAATTCGTATTAGTGGTCCATGGGATTTGAAATTATGAATTTGGTGGTCCCTGAGGTTCGAAAGGTTGGTGACCCCTGATCTAGCTATCCATATACCTATCTACCAGTATCTATACCTACCTACCTACCATCTATCTATCATCTACTTTTTTCTAGTCCATTTTCCCAAAATCACAATCCCCAAAGTATGCGAGCCACGGAGCACATCTCCATATTCAGCAGTTTCGTTTCTATACTCTTGGATGCCGTAGGCAGTCAGTGGAGAAAGCTTTTTTTTTTTTCCCCTGCAGGTAGATGAGTTTCTCAGGAAACACCTGGCTGGGATTGCTGTTGGAAAATGAACTGAAAACAGGGGGGCGGGGGGGGGGAATGGTTCTCCTGCAGGTAGATTAGCACCCAGCAGGTCTTGGTTCAAAGCATAGAAGTCAGAAACCAACGTGTTTGGTTTCCCCCGTAACCACACTGCTTTCAGAACTGATGGCGGTGCAGTGTTTTTCAACCACTATACTCTAGCATGTGTACAACAGTGCTTTCTTTTTTTTTTTCAGGTCAAATCTTTTGGCTTGTACCTCTCTCGCTCTCCCTGTTAAGGAACATTTTGTGAAATGTTCCTCCTCAAGGCGCTTGCGGGAGGGGGGAGCTGGCACAGCAAGGCTCTGAAGTTTATCCTCTTTCAGAGGTTGAATAAGATGGGGAGAGGAGAACAGAACCAGATACGGAGACTCTGCCGGTTGGAAATGGCAATAGCACTTAGACTTGTTTACCGCTTCATAGTGCTTTTACACCCCCTCTCTAAGCAGTTTACAGAGTCAGCGTATTGCCCCCAAACAATCTGGGTCCTCATTTTACCCACCTTGGAAGGATGAGTCAAGCTTCAGTTTTGTCAGCATTGAACTGCTGGCAGTGGCCAGAGTTAGGCTACAATATTGCATTTTAGCCACTGGGAGGGAGGGAGGGAAGGAAGGAAGGAAGGAAAGAAAGAAGGAAGGAAGGAAGGGCAATAGCAATAGCACTCAGACATATACTGTTTCACAGTGCTTTACATACCTCTCTAAGTGGTTTACAGAGTCAGCCTATTGCCCCCAATAATCTGGGTCCTCATTTTACCCACCTTGGAAGGATGGAAAGCTGAGCCAACTTTGAACCGGTCAGGATCGAACTGCTGGCAGTCGGTAGAGTTAGCCTGCAATGCTGCATTCTAACCACTGTGCCACACGGGTTCCTAATAGCAATAGCACTTATACACCGCTTCATAGTGCTTTTACAGCCCTCTCTAAGCGGTTTACAGTGTCAGCCTATTGCCCCCAAACAATCTGGGTCCTCATTTTACCCATCGCGGAAGGACGGAAGGCTGAGTCAACCTTGAGCCTGGTGAGATTCGAACTGCCGAACTGCAGCTAGCAGTCAGCTGAAGTAGCCTGCAGTCCTGCGCTCCTTGCTTTTTTGCTCTTCCTTTTTCCTTAACTGGTCTTCAGGGCGTGGAGGTGAACGCAGGTCAGCAAATGCCGTGTGAGTTGACCCTGGTCCAACGTGGCGGAGAATATGAGTAAGTCCCCAGGGAAGGATGAACATTTCTGTCGCCACTGCTTACATATCTGTACCCAGATCCTTGCACTGGTAGCCTATGGAAGTATTTCCAACCTTGGCACATTTTAAAACGTGCGGACTTCAGTTCCCAGAATTCCCCAGCCAGAATGTAGCCCCCATTTGCACTACAGAAAATCACGGTGTAGTCTTTCGTGTTTGGACAAATGCTGTAATGCCATTCCCGTTTGCGTATGTCTGTGTGTGTGAATCATCCCACGCGTAGTATTTTTGCCTGGAAGGGCAAAATGAAGAATGTTTGCACACTTCCCTCCGTTTCCTTCCTGTGCCTCTAACTTTATCACTTTTTTTTAAATTGCAGGTTGGTTATAAGCTCACAGGGGACAGACCCCCCTATTCAAGAACACATTCCAGTCAACGACCGTTTTAAATGTGTGCAAGGTATTATTCAAAGTCTCTTTTCTTTCTGGTTTGATGACTCATGGTTTCCTGCAAGCCAGGAAAGGTTAGTGTCAAAATCAAAACCACAAACAGAATCTGGACCCTGGCAACCAGAGATGCTGGCCGGAGTTTTATGCAACCATAAATCCTGTGCCAATGGAAACATAGCAGGGAGTGCCCCTTGCTTGATTAATGAACTGATAGCGCTAGTCTCAAAGGTGCTTTTCCAAGCGGCAGCTGGACTTTCTAGTGTTTCTTTGAAGAGGTTTTGCTGCTCATCCAAGAAGCTTCTTCGGAGCTGAGGGCAGAAGCGGCTTCTGAGAGAAGCTGAAGAAGCTTCTCAGGTGAGAAGCAAAACGTCTTCAGAGAAAAAGTCGATAACTCTGGAACGCCTCGAGCAATTTCAACCAAACTTGGTACACAGATGACTTACTCTCTGGAAACAAATACTGTGGGGGTAAGACACCCCTAAAACCCCTCGGGGTGTGTGTGTTCTGTTAAGATACAGCCTGTTGTGCCTTCAAATGGCTTCTACTGTACTGCCGTAAAATGGCTTTACTGTACAGCACAGTGGTTACCACGGTAACGGTTTCACAGTACTCCACAAGGGGGCTCCCTCTGGTAGGGGGGAAAATCCAACGTTAGAAATTACATTTGGTCC